TCTTGGTGAATTTCCCTTGATAGATGTGGGAGAAGTGATGGTGGATGTGGTTCTTCAACAACTACTTCCTTTGAACGAGATTTTCTTGTCTTCTTTCGATGGCCTTGTCGAGGATGAGAGGTACGAGAAGATGAACTATCACCACCAGCCATTCCCTTAGTCTTGTATATTATCCTTCAAAACAAGTGGCAAACAATGCACAAACCATCAATCCAAGCGTCACATATCATAAGGATAATTTTCAATGAACTAACATTAAGTCTCTAACTTTCCCCCCACACTTGAGTGAGACTAAGACTTGGGTAAGAGAGGGGACTTAGATAGAGATGACGTTCCAAGGCAATGAATAATATGATCTCCCAAATCAATGCAGAATTGAGCAAACAAGAGATAACCAATGCAAATAAGTTTGATGCTCAATGAATAGCATTGGAGAAAATGAAAACTATGTAGTTGGGGACTTTCTATAAACACTTGGTGGGCGATCTTTGAAAACTCAAGAAATGCATGGAAATAGCTCACCAAGTTCTCCCAAAATGCATAGCATGACCATTAAAGCAAAGAAAATAATCCTAGGGCATCAAATATTCATGCCAAGGTGAAGATGAGCATTTCAAGATCTCAAGGCATTCAAAACATGTTGAGCAAAATAAGTTGGTTAAAATATGAGGAATTGGGAAAGTGTACCTTATCTTGCTTGGAGACATGTTGAGAATCCAAAAGCAATTAAAAATTCTTCTCAAAAGATGTTGGAAAGTGAAATAGAGAAGGTATACTCAACAAGCTAGGGGGTGGGAAACATGACATGTATATCTAAAAGATGAGAAGAAGAGACTACACATGGATGCAATGTGGAACTTCCCTTTAAATAAGCAAGGACAAGATCGCGGGCTGTTGATATGAGATCGCGGTCGCAATCTCTAGTCTGTCAACTGTAAACTTTGCCCTGACCATGACAACATGTTTTCACCAATTCCTTAGGCTTAATCATTCATCTAAATAATTCAAACATCCAAAGACAAGGCAAGGGCTAAGTCATATTAATCATTCTCAATGCAATTCTAATTTCTACTCAAGCAATTATTCAAAAAGAAAAAGGAAAAGATACGCAAATCGAGTTGTTGGATTGCCTCCCACAAGCGCATCTTCAAAAGTCTTTTCGCCGGACTTGACTCCTTGAGATCAAAAGGCGAGATCTCCCTCCTTCACTGATGATTCTTCGTAGAAATTATATTTATGGTGAAGTCCCAAGTGAAAACTATGGATTCTCTCGGATGCCTCATCCGGTGCTTGAAATAGGAAAGATTCATCCGAAGGTTGACGCACATGATTGAAGTAACCAAGCTCTCTTTTACTTGTATCATCATCCGTGAATGGCTTATAGCATTCCCCGAATTCTTCATCTTCGAGTATAGGAGCTAGGTTGTTCGTAACCTTCTGAACTCTTTCCTTAGGGTATCTTTCTTCAAAGATGAACCTCTAAAGTTTCTTTATATGATCATTGGCTTGATGAGAAACTTAAAACAACTCTTGAGTATCACTTTTGTGATAAAAATTTTCCTTACCCGGTCTCTTTATAATCTTGCAAGAATCACTCACACCTTCAACTATACTATCATGGGGGTCAACATGAGAGACCATTTTTCTTTCCCGCAGTCCTCATCATGTCGACGCCCTCCTCTGCCACCACCATCATCATGTGAGTCACACTCCCCCACTATCTCTGTCTCCAAACCCATATATGTCTTTTTCGTGTGGTAAGGCTATCAATGTACTAGTAATATTATCGATGGAGTGATACGTTATCAGTGTACTAGTAATGTTATCGATGGAGTGGTACTGGTGATGTTATCAATGGATTGGTAACATTACAAGTGTTCTGGCAATGTTATCATAGAGTGGTAACACGGTGTTTTGATGGAGTCGTCTCCACGTGCCACTAGGCGCTCAATTTTATCGCAACACAAGGGATATGAATATCAAGGGGAAGGATGGTGTAGATGGTGTTATCTAGAGTTGAAGAGAGACATTTTTGAAAAGCTAAAACCCTAGAAAGATAGTACAGAGAAAATGGGTCTTTTGGAGAAGAAGTAGAGCTTGAACAGGAAGATTTCCAGCAGTTTGGAGTTCTTTTCTGATGGTTTTCCTTTCCCCTATCCCTTGTTCTTCTTTTTCCCTTAATGGGGTAATTTCTCAAGGTACGTAGGGCTTACTCCCCCAAAACCTAGTTTATGGTTTAGTATGTAATGAATGATGATTGTTAATCTATGGTTTCAGTTCAATTAGTGTCTAATGCTTTAACTTATGGTTTATATTCATGTAGATTATGTTTGCAAGTGTTTTGTCCTATCGATGTAAAGACTTAGCTTAGGTTGTGATGGCCATTCCCCTAGGTTGAGTGCTCATTTAATTGATGCCTCTTGAAAGTTTACATGACCATTGATTCGTTCAAGTGGTGTAAAAAAACTAACCTAACTAGTCTGATTTTGGCTCATTTGACATGACAAAATCGTATAAATTATAGATTTTAATGTTTCTAATAGGGATTATATGGGCTTTAATGATTCAAAGACTTAGTAGTAAAATCAAGATCATGACATCATGAAAACATAAAATTTTAAGATTAAAATTAGAATTTGACTACACTAAGTCCAATTACCTTTTAAGAAAGTACATTTTTATAAGTTAAGCATGTCACGAACTTAGATCTGCCAATGTCCGGATGATCATCATGTCACGCAAGTGCAACTCACATCATGTTAAACAAGATTACATTTTTAACTCGCACTTGAGTAGCTACGCACACGGCCACCTTACTTTCAGAGTGATGAAGTCTCATGTAGTTACACACTCCTTCATATAAGAGCTTATGTTCAAGTTCAAGTATGTTACGATCGCTTTGCTAGCGTGCGGTTACCTCACATCCCACAGTGATGAAGGTCATGTTATCACGTTTTGGTGGCCAGACGTTTGCGCTAGTTAAGTTGAGCTCGAGTTTCCTCATTTCCAAGAAAACTAAGCTTCATAACACATCATCATTGCATGGTCATGTGCTTTTTATGTATGTATGTGTCAAGGTGTTCTTTCTTAAGTACAAATGAATCTAGGACGTATGACTGACCCATGCCCGCACTTAGGACTTCTAGAACACATAAACTTGGCAGGGAATCAATAGTTTATCACAAGGATTAGTGTCTCTAACATAAGCATGTCAGAGAATCAGTAGTTCATCGCAAGAATTAGTGGCTTCAGAAGACTTCGACACTTAGTTAAGTTCAGTATATGGTGGAACATAAAACTTGATGGTGTTTTATGAAGGATAATGAATTATTATGATAAGTATTTCAAGGTTGTTGATATTTTCAACATTCTTTTCATATGTAACTTTTCCAGTTTCTTTTCAAGTATTTACTATTAATATTTTTGAAGAATATTTTGGTAAAAAGGTAGTATGAGAGCTAAGGTGTTGCAATCACTAGAAAAAAAGGATCTGATCTCATTTGACAAAGCAACATGCCAGAATCTTTATGAAATCCACCAATGGCTTGAGCCTTGATGGCCTGGCTGGACGAAGAAGGGAGGATTAATTCCCTAAATACAGATAAAACTAAGACAAATTCCTAAACTACCACACTTTTAAAAAAAATTCCCAAAATACCTAAGTTTGGAGTGGTTCGAGTTTGAGAAACTCGAACTACTAACCGGTTCGAGTTTAGGAGACTCGATCAAGTCGTAGATCGATGATATAAGCCTCGAACCATGTGGAGCTGAAGTGAACTCGAACCACTCCTTTGAAATTTCCAACAACCTTAACTTTGTGCTCGGTTATCCGATCGTAGCAAACTTTTTTTTCATTTCGCATAACTTTTCGAGGACTACAACTTTTATAATAGAAATATTTTCAGAATATATGTGAAAATATGAAAAATAAAGTTAAATTTACTCCCAAACCACCTTATATTAAAAATTGTTCCTATTTTGAAAATTTATTCCTAGTAAATGTTGTAGTACTCAAAAAATTATGCAAAATAAAAAAAAACTTTACGACATTCGGATTGTGGAGCATAAAGTTATGATCCTCTAAAGTTTGGCAAAATCGAAAAATTGCTCGTTTAGCGGTAACAAATGACATTTTCTCGGGGCGAAGGCACGGGAAATTTTTTTATATATAGGGAATTTCTGCCAAAAGAGAAATATTTTTCCAAACGAGGAATTTTTGGATGGCTATCTTCCTAGAAAACGTCATTTGCTACCCATAAAAAAGCAAATTTTCGAATTTTTCGAACTTTGGAGGATCATAACTTTGTGCTCCGCAATCCGAACGTCGCAAATTTTTTTTTTGTTTTGCATAATTTTTTTAGTACTACAACATTTACTAGGAATAAATTTTCAAAATAGGAATAGTTATTAATATAAGGTGGTTTGAGAGTACATTTAACTTTATTTTTCACATTTTCACATATATTCTGAAAATATTTCTATTATAAAAGTTGTAGTCCTCAAAAAGTTATGCGAAATGAAAAAAAATTTTGCTACGATCGGATAACCGAGCACAAAGTTAAGGTTGTTGGAAGTTTCAAAGGAGTGGTTCGAGTTCAGTGCTCCACATGGTTCGAGGCTTATATCATCGATCTACGACTAGATCGAGTCTCCTAAACTCGAACCGGTTAGTAGTTCGAGTTTCACAAACTCGAACCACTCCAAACTTAGGTATTTTGGGAATTTTTTTTAAAAGTGTGGTAGTTTAGGAATTTGTCTTAGTTTTATCTGTATTTAGGGAATTAATTCAAGAAGGGACGGGCTTTGAACTGGGTATGGCCGTGGCTGACTCTGACTGAGAGAGAGGCGAGAGATCTTTACTAAGGCTAGGATCTTTTTCCTGAAAGGCCAAAGTGGGGGGTGACGTGGCCGTTTCTCTATCTCTACCAAACTATCCATTACCAGAAGAGTCCAACAAAAGCCCAAAGCCCTTCCCTTCCCTTGCTTACTTTTCCAGTTTCCTTTCCCCTCATTTTCTCTCTCCCTCCGTCTGCGCTTTTTCTCGCTTTTTCTTTCCTCTTTCGTCTTCACCCCTGCCACGTCTGCTCCTCTTCTTCCTCCTCTATCCTACGCCTCTCCCCACCTTCCCCTCACCCTTTGCTGGCGCATTTTAGATGCGACCCAATACAGGAGAAACCAGAACTGGAAGGAGAGCTAGTTGGACGGAATGGATCGATGGATACATGTGTATATGATAGGTATCTGAAGAATCTTCACGGTCTTTTGATGGACCTGCTAACTTGCGCCTTACTCCTCCAGTCCCCGGGGGCGATCCCTAGCTTTTATCCTTTCTTCATTTTTTCGACTTGCTTAATCTATTTGTAGCTCCTCTTTCTTCGTCGTATCTTGCTTTACATATGAATCCTGGCCGGAGGGTTGCTCGGACTGAGTTTGAAGGGGATCGCTTTCCCATGGAATTTCTCTAGTGTTCTTTTTTTTCCCCCTTCTTTTTGCTGCCTTGGTTTTGGGTGGGCTGAATTGGAGGGAGGTTTTGAACAAAGGTTGGGCTGCCATGGAAGAGGGGAACGAGGAGTTGGCCAACATGGATTGTGGTGGTGCTACTGCTGCTGGTACCAGTGCGGATGGAGGGGATGGTTTCATTGACAGAAGTAAAGTTAGGATCCTGCTCTGTGATAATGACCTCTCCAGCTCCGAGGAGGTTTACACTCTTCTTTTGAAGTGTTCTTATCAGGGTATAATTTGCATTTTCATTTCAATTCTTGGTATTTGAGTTCTTGTTACAATTGTTATAGAGCCTATTTTTCATTGCTTATTCAGAATCTTTGATTGGAATTAGCTTGCTTTAGGGCCTACCTTAGAAAACTTGCTTGCACGGTGTGCCTGTGCAGTCAGAATTGAGTCAACTGAAGAAGGATTGCCTATTTTGTTCTCTCATTGGGCATATTGGTTAAGAGTTAATAATGTCTTCTTTTCTCCTCTTGATTGTAGTAATGACCTACTGAAGCAGAATACGAATGAATGCTTTCCAAACCGACCAACTCCTACTTTTTTATGCATAAGACCGTGAGTCGGCCCGAGGATCCTCGGTTTAGTTGTCATAGGCTTCACTCTAACCCTTTATGCAACCTTTTGCCCGGTTCTCTGGCTTCTAAACTGAAATAAATGGAAGTTCACTTGTCCAACTGTCTTTTGTTTTCTTGTCTATACACGCTAGTATATGGTTTGTCAATAGACCAAATGCATATGGAAGTACATTATTTAGGGCCTTAGTTTTTTCTCCCGGCTCCGCTTATAATTATTATGATTATGGATCCATTTCAGATGTCTATTCTTCTTCAAGGGAAATTCCTGAAATAGCGTTTTTGTTGTTCTTTTCTCTTCAGTTACATCAGTCAAATCTGCTAGGCAGGTGATTGATGCCCTGAACGCCGAGGGGCCAGATATTGATATCATTCTTGCGGAGGTTAATCTTCCAATGAAGAAAGGCATGAAGATGCTGAAGTATATAACTCGCCATAAGGATTTGCGGCGCATTCCAGTAATCAGTAAGCAATTTTAAGATCAGTATTGAAACTATAATCTTTCTGAACCGTAGGATGGAATTTGCTGAAATTATATCCATTTTGATCAGTGATGTCAGCTCATGATGAGGTTTCGACTGTTGTCAAGTGCTTGAGATTTGGAGCAGCTGATTACCTTGTTAAGCCTTTACGCTCCAATGAGTTATTAACTCTATGGACACATATGTGGCGGAGAAGAAGGATGGTTTGTCTATGCTTTCGCCTACATGCTTACATCAATTCACATCCTATCTCTCCTGTTTGTGCGATCTTATGCTTGATATGTTCATTTTAGGTGAAAGCATTTATTTTCAATCTGAATGAGTGTTGTTGGCAGGTGCTCATTAGATGGGGAAAATATATATTTGTCAATAAGATGAATGAATTAGGATGACATCGTTTCATCAATGGATTTATTTAATGTGTATGAAAGGCTGCATCCTTCACCTGGTCGGCCATTGGTCATTCTATATTTTGCTGTTTCAATTCCCATTGGCTATGCCATTTATTACCCCCTGACATACATTTAGCCTCTTCTAGAACCCAGATGTGCATTGTTATTTTGGCACTTACTCCGTTCTTTTTGGCTGGCAGCTTGGATTGACGGAGAAGAACATTGTGAACTATGAATTGGACCTAATTGCATCAGACCCGAGTGATGCTAATACAAATAGTACGACTCTGTTCTCTGATGATACAGATGACAAGTCACGGAAGAGCAACAACCCTGAGACTGTGGCATCAATTCATCCAAATGATGAAGTGAGTGTCATGCAACATAGTTTCTCTGGCACTTGGACTCGTGCTCTAGAAAGTAGTCATTTTCTGACTTGGTAATCTGAGGCCAATTTAACTTCTATGTGCTTCAGACAACAAATACCTCGGATATATGACCACAACTTTAAATCTAGTATATGTTTGAAGCTTTTGAGGAAATTGGTAGTTGGAAGTTGTAAGCTCGTGATTGATGTGATCATATTTAAGCATTGGCAGATTTCTCTCAACACGTGATAGTCGTGACTTAACTACAAGATCAAATGAAATAACTTCTTAAGATGCATTGATTATCTAGCCTGTGGAAAATACTCGTGCTCTAGATATCTGTTGGGATTTCAAATATGCCTCCTCTTTATAACATGCATGTTGTTATGGATCATTACCATCCAAGATCATTCCTGATTAGATGAATAATTCTTGAAATCACATTTGATGCACCATTTTGCTGTTTGTCACTGATTCAGGAACTTTGTAACTAAGTTGTTTTCCGGTATTACTGAAAGCCTTACTTGTGGTTCATAATGCCATCTACTGAATCTTGTTACAAATGTTATGATTGGAAACAATAATATCATACTTCATGTTTTAGTCTGTTGTGGCTGCTGCTGCTGATGCCGTTGCCGCTGCTGATGCTTTTATCATCACCGAACCTCTGCATGGAAATCCCCGAGAATATCTGCCTGCTGTCCCAGGAATCACTGACCGCCGTCGTGCTGGTGAGTTAACTGATGATATTTGCTGCTGATGTGCCCTGAGTTGACTCAATGTGAACACAAATCTTTGAATGGGAGTATTAGCTGGAATTAGAGACTTGCAAAATTGATGTAGGAGGTCATTGAAGAAATTTCCTTGGGTCTTTGTCTTTTCTAGTATCCTTTTCTTAAGTGGTGTGTGACACTCTTTAGAGGTTTTCCTGCTTGAATGTGGGTCTTGATTTGTTTGAATATGTGCCAAATGGAGACAGATTATATATTGTCCTTGTGTCAATGGCATTGTTATTTTTTCTGCAGTCAGAAATCAATTGGGGCTCTTATTTTCTTGTCTTTCTGGTTTCAGGAAACTTCTCAGCTGGCCCAAAGAAGAGCGAACTGAAGATTGGGGAATCTTCTGCCTTCTTCACATATGTCAAATCAAGCCCAGTGAAAAGCAATGCCCAAGATGTTGTTGCTCAAATTGAGGAGAGTAGGTCGAGGATGGAAGAGAGAGTTGATCAAAGCTATGACCAGCAGCAGGCATTTACCAACACTCAATTACCGGAAAACGGGGAGGCTTGGGAAAGTTATTCACAAGGAGATGACTTCCGAAGCAGTGCTAGTGTCCCGGATTCTCTTTCTCTAGACAGATCTTGCACCCCTCCTGGATCGAGAGACTATCCCAAGTTGAATTTCAAGGAAGAAAATCTACAGCACATGCTTCTTGGGAACCATCAGAGAAATGAATCTCGACCTCAAGCTACAGGTATACAAACACAAAATTTCTATTCGTATTACATGCAAGGGGTAATGAATCAAGTTATGATGCCATCATCATCGTCGCATCTACACGAAAAGAATATGCTTGAACTACTACAGAGTCAGGCTCAGTACAACAATCATCTTATACAGCATAATACGAGCACCCATGTACCTGGCCAGCCACCACCACCATTTCCCTATTACCCAGTTAGCATATGCTTACAACAACCTGGTCAAATCCCTAGTAGTACCAATAATTCATGGCAGCCATCATTTGGAGGTGGAGGCTCTTCTTTGGCAGAATCCAGCAAAACAAACCAAGTAGATAGAAGAGAGGCAGCACTGATCAAGTTCCGGCAGAAGAAGAAAGAACGTTGTTTTGCTAAGAAGATACGGTATGTTAACCGGAAAAAGCTTGCTGAAAGGAGGCCTCGTGTGCGTGGACAGTTTGTTAGGAAGTTAAATGGTGTGAATGTGGATCTCAATGGGCATCCAGCTGGTACTGATTATGAAGACGAAGAAGAGGATAACGATGAACTTGCATCAAGAGGCTGTACCCCTGAGGATGAGGCATCTTGATGTTAACAATGTCTAGATGCTTGCTTTATGTGTTTGTGCTTGTTTATGTCTTCCTGATAAGATCTCTTGGAGTTATTGCGCCTTTGTATAGGCTGCATCTGAGGTCTCATATAAGCGGTGCGAGGCTGGAACTCGAAGGGTAGTTCAAATTACTGAGTGTTTTGGATCACGAATTGCTCCTTGAGTGGCATTGCCCTTCTGGCGAAGGAGCACTCTTTTTGTCGGGTGGACGATGATGCATCTTCGTAAGTCCTGTGATGGAGCTTTTTCTAAAGGATGTTGTAATATTCTCAATTATGGAGGAGCTGTTATGGCTCCTTCGTGGAGGAATGTTGGTAGGTAGCATCGTAATTTTGGTGAAGTTAATCGTGTATGTAGTATTATTTGCTTGCCTCTGTAACCGGCAAGTTGCCCATCAGCTGGTGGTTGGCTTGCTTGAATTGGAAGTGTCGCTCAAATTCTCAAAGTTTTATATGTTGGGTTATTGTTTTAGCACATTAATGGACTGGTTGTGTTGAATACAAATTAGGAGTTTATCATAAAATATAATAACTACATGACAAAAATCAACTTCAAATGAAATAAAAGTCAATAACATAGGACTCAAATCTTACAGCTACACAAGAATAGCTGGACGCATATCATTTATAAACTAACACAGATATCTTGTTAATATATTTCGGCCACTCATTTGCTCATCCGGTTTCGAAGATCATTCTTGATATATTTCATAAATAAAAATGATATCTCTACACATGTAATCAATGTTCAAGAACGTGTTAGGCGCTAGACAGGGGTTGAGATTTTACCTAGCACCTAGGACGTAGGGGTTTTTTGTGATCACTTGCATCAATTAGGGAAGAACTATGAAGCTTTAGAGGTCGTTTGGATTAGAGATTTTAATAACGAGGGATTTGAATCAAAATCTCTCGTTTAAAATAACAGAGAATTTGTGTGCAGGATTTAGCTAAAATAACTCGTTTGGATTGTGACGCAGAATTTTAATGTTAAGTTCAAAATTACATTAGTGTCCTCCTCTTATACCCTTTCTTGGGACTTGTTAGAGTGCTAATTTCATTGGAGTTAGCACCGTACTAACCACTATAATCACTGTTTATTATTTTTAATTAAAATATGATGCTGGAGAATAAGGAGGGGCATATTCGGTATATCAAAAAATTAATTTAATTAATAAATTAAATCTTAAAATATTTTATCTTCCTTTTAGTAGTAGGCCTGAAAAATAGTACCGTACACTACTGCTACATTCATTGGTAGTGATTTCGGTGGTTGTATTAGCAATTTTATTTGTTCTCGTAGTGATTTAATTGTAATTAGTAGTGATTTAGAAATTTTAAGTTACTCATGATGGGTGAACTTTAGAAAGTAATGATAACATAATCACTACTAATACGATTAGGTAGGAGTAAATCACTCATGGAATAACTACACATAAAAAAAAAATACTACTACCGTACAAATATGACTGCTCAACTGCTAATACATATGAAAATCACTACTCCACAATCACTACAAACCCAAAATGACTACTAATCAAATAAAAATATAGATCTAAAGGCGCCGGTAAGGGTGGGAAGCCAACGCAGGCAAGGGCGGCGGAAGTAAGAGCGCCGCATGTTCGTTTCTCTCCATCTAACGGCAACCTCTTCCTAGATCTGGTTTTATCGAATCACTGCCGGTGATGGCGACGGGGCTGCAGGCGATGGCAATGAACGCGTACAGGCGATGGCGAGGCGGTTGGCGATGTCGAGGCGGTTGCGGGCGAAGCGGTTGCGGGCGATGGTGAGTCCGTTGCCGGGGAGGCTGAGGCCGGCACGGCTAAGATCGATAAAGCCGTAGTCGACCAGAAGGAGAATCGTCAGAGATCAGAGAGCCGACCGGAAGAAGAATCGATGAAGGGGCTCTGAATTTTTTAGAGGGAGAGAGAGTGAGAGGGATGGGCGGCTGGGGAAGAAGGGGTGTGCGGCTGGGGAAAAAATTAATATTTATATTAGAGTTTGGTGGTATATTTACTAAATTGTCCTTTAGTTAGTATGGTGCTAACCTCATTAGAAGTTAGCACCTAATCCGACTCCCCCTTTCTTCGATCAAAGAAAGAACTGACGCAGATGCGGAAGAACAATGAAAATCAACGAATAACAAAGTGCCCTACCCAGAACCCTGCTTCTTCCACTTTGTTCTTGATAAGCTTTTATCCCCTTCATTCTTCTTCTGGCAAAATCAAGCCGCAGCAAGCCACTGATGTAAAAGGATTTGGAACCGCTCCCTCACTCTCTTCTTCTTCCTCTCGATATCTTCCTCCTAAGCCCTGAAATTGGGGGTCGCCGATAACATGGCGAAAAACCGGGATCTTAGGGTTCGCCGATGAGTGTGGGAGGAATCGGGCAGATGCTGGCGACGGATGTGGAGAGGAGAGAAGAAGAAGTGGAAGAGATGAGGATAGCATCTGCAACCCATAATCCTACAAGCCAAATCGACAAAACAAGAAACCAGATCTCCAAAATTGATTTATCCCAATTCGTGCCCTTCTCTCTTCCATCCATCCGTGATTGATTCCACCACTAGTCACCACCACCATCGTCTCCTTCACTTTGTTCTGATTGATGGTATAGCTAATAGAGAATTGAACGATTTAGTAGCGGTGGAGCAGAGAAGAAGTGGAAGCAGGCGCCGCCGTCGCCGCTCCAAGCATCTCAAAAATCCATACCCAACGCTGAAACAACAGATCTGCTTTTAAATCAAAACAGAATGGATACAACGGAAACGAAGTCGACACGGATATTTACGTGGTTTCCTTGTTCAGGATGAATGAGACTAGTTCACGACGGAAGTGATCAGGTTTTTGTTATTATTTCTTCACATCGGCAGCCCTCATTACATTCATACATATAGTGTTCTCATCTAAACCCTATGCCTAATTACATCCGATACACATGTACAAAAGTGGGTTTCTTAATCAAGGCCCATAATCACTCAATAGCCTCCCCAAATTGATGGAGGTCTTGCATCATCAATTTGCCAGCAAGATAGGAGTGACGACTCGCCGAAAATGCCTAGGTCAGAAGATCAGCAATCTGATCCTCGGATGTAACATGATGAAGACAAACTGTGCCTTTTCGTACAAGATCACGAATATAATGAACGTGCCAAGTGATCTGTACGTGGAGCTTACATGAACTTATTGACAATCTGAACTGCATAAGCAATGTCAGGTTGCATGGAAGTCAGATAAATAAGACTACCAACAATACTCCAATACTGCTTCCCCATGTCTTCCAACAACTCTCCAGATTCACGGCCTAACTTCAAATTCATCTCCATAGGCGTGGAGATAGGAACACACTCATCGAAACGAGCAGACTCTAAAAGATCCTCGATATACCTCTGCTGCCCAAGAAAGATGCCTCCAGGTGTGCGGTGAACCTCAAGACCTAGGAAATAGGACAAAGGTCCAAGCTCCTTCATATTAAAAAAATCATGAAGGCCACGAGTTAACTGCTCAATACCCAGCTCATCATCACCAGTAACTATCATGTCATCGACGTAAATCAGCAGAATGACCATCCCACGAGGAGTAGACCGAGTAAACAGGGACGGATCATTCAAGCTCTGCAGAAAACCCAAATCCAAGATAGTAGCATGAAACTTCTCGAACCAGGCATGAGGAGCTTGCTTCAACCCATAGAGAGAACGACGCAACAAACACACCAGATTAGGAGTACCATAAGGATAACCGGGAGGACGCTCCATATACACTATCTCCTTCAGCTCCCCGTAAAGAAACACATTCTTCACATCCAGCTGATACAGAGGCCACAGGCGAATAGATGCAACTGCCAGAAGAGAACGAACAATGACCATCTTGGCCACAGGAGCGAAAGTCTCCTCAAATCTACTCCGTACTGAGAAAACCCCTGGGCGATCACGCGAGCCTTGTGACGTTCAAGAGAACCGTCAGGGTTGAACTTAAGAGGGTACACCCCTCAAGAATCAATCACAAGTACTGGAGGAGGAGGGCGTGGGACAAGGTCCCAAGTATGATTGCTATAAAGAGCATCCATTTCCACATTCATAGCCCGATCCCAGTCAGGATCTCCCTATGCCTGCAAAAAACGAGTAGGAATAGCAAGTGACTCAATCCCATAAGTAAAAAAATCATTGAGTCGTTCAGGAGGCAGCCCCTGAGTAGAACGCAGTGACCGACGAGGAGGCGGAGGCGGCGATGGTGGAGAAGGCGCCATTGGAGGAGAAGGAGGCGTCGGTGGAGTGGGTGGTGGGGAGGGACCGGCATCAAGGTCAACGGGGTCAATGGGAGCCAGGAAGTCCTCATCATCAGAAAAGGTGGGTGGACCAAGAGAAGTGTCAAACAAAGGAGGAGAGGTAGACGAGGTGGATTAGTACATGAGACCCTAAAAAAACACAACATTGCAAGAGATGTGGAGTCGCTGATGGACGGGGTCAAAACACAAGTAACCCTTGTGGACATCACTGTACCCGAGGAAGACACAACGAGATGTTTTAGAGATGAGTTTCAAACGCTCAGAATGAGGGAGAAGAACAAAACATGTGCAACCAAAGTCACGAAGACGAAAATATGGAGGATGAGTAGAAAATAACCGGAAATAGGGACTCGACTGATCAAGGACTGAAGTAATCTAATAGTTGATGAGATGGACAGCAGTAGACACAGTTTCAGGCCAGAAGGAAGATGGGACATGGGACGCAAGGAAGAGAGCACGAGTGACCTCAACGACATGCCGATTTTTGCGTTCGACAAGACCATTATGTTGGGACACACTGGGACAAGACTTCTGTGAGAGGATACCTAGAGACTTATACAGAGTAAGAAGGGGAGTGGAACTGAACTCGCCACCTTCATCAGAACAAATGACATGCACTATTTTAGAAAATTGAGTCTCAATCATTTTAAGAAATTCAGTGGCAATGGCAAGGAGATCAGATTTATGACGCAAAAAATA